GTTTTTTTTATTGAGATTTACAACTGTATTACATGGAAAATACAATAAGTAAATGTGACATTGGTAACATGACATGCACAACATGAAGAGAAAATACCCATTGGTAGAACTCAAATTAAAGTTCTATATTAGAAGGTCCCGAGGCCATCTTCTTTTCAGACGCCTCGGAGGATTATCAGGGATCGAGGAGGAAGCAAGGTATATTCTACAATAAATATTTCCAGATTTATATTTAATAAGTATAAGCAATACCTCGCAATTCTGCTGGGCTGTTTTTGTATTAAAAATGATGTAGGATATATTATAATAGGAAATGATTGAATAGGCGGGATTTAAAAGTGGGAAGTGTATAGGAACGATGCCCTAGTGCATCATGAATACTTCTATTTGATTTAAGAGCAATATTCTAATACTTGGATTAAAAATAATTTCAAACAAATGTTTCACAGAACATGCATTTTTAAAGAATGTCGAGGTCATAAGAAACCATAAATTGACAATATGTGTTACCTTATCTAGGTTTTTATGTAAGCATATTGTAGTGCATATGCGTAGGAGCTACCATTAACGTGATACTAATATATTGCAAAATGTTATATTGAAACTATATTTAATCTCTGTTTGTTAATACTTTCTTTTTATTATAATTTTAACCCTTCAATTAATATAATTTATTATCACTTCTTCATAAACACATTCCTGCAGATTTCTATTTTTATTTATTTGTATTCCATACCAATCGTATGGAACATATATCATGTTTCAGATTAAAAAAAAATTAAATGTTTCAAATAATAAATACATTTTATTTATAACCTAACTTCCAACCAAAGCAGTCGTATTCCTTACATTTATTTAAAATTGCATCCTACCTACCATCCAATTTCCTCTATTATGGAAACACTCCATTATTATCCTTTCCCAAAATCAGGCAAACCTCCCAACACCTTGACATCCTATAGACTAATTAGCCTACTCCTAATTCTTTCAAAAATCTTTGAAAAGATCCTTTTGAAACGGATACTACCCCTCATAAAATCTCAATATTTCTCTTCCCATTAGTTTGGTTTTCGCTCAAAACACTCCACTGTTCAACAAGGAGTCCGACTCGTTGATCAGATATCAGCAATCCTAGAAAACAAGCAATACTGTTCGGGTGCATTTGTGGACATAGTACAGGCTTTTGACCGTGTATGGAACCTCGGGCTGCTCTTCAAGCTTAAAATCCATCTCCCTCAGTCCTTATACCTAATCCTTCGATCCTACCTCTTTGACCACTCCTTTCAAGTACGCTGTGGAACAGTATTTTCCGATATCTATCTAATTAAAGAAAATTTTATTATATAAATATAAATATGAGATCGGATTGAGGAGATAAATGAATTGTTTCATTCGATTCATCTTTGGAGTCCCCAGGCGCTCCCACGTCTCCAGTTGGTATGCCGAGTTGAAGTGGCTCTACCCAGTTCTCCGGCGGCAATATTTCCTAGGCGTATTCCTTTTCCGAACCTTTACAACCAAAAAGCCATCTTACCTCCTTAATTTGTTTACTCCTTGTGCCTCTGTTCACTCAATTAACACGAGATCCTAGTCCATAAACGTATTTGTTCCCATTCATAGAACCGTTTCCTTTAAAAAATCATTTGTCATGCATGCTACCTTTTCCTGGAATTCATTACCTGCCTCCACACGTAAATCCTCTTCCTTAACCTCATTTAAATAACAATTATTCTTCCACCTCCTAAGCAATCAATTTTTCGAACACATGTAAGAACAAAATTTTGTATTTAAGAGCTGACATCTTCATTTGACTGTTATATTAGTGCTATTTATATATTAACAATATTGTTAATCAGAATAAATATATGAACACACTCATATATATTTATGTGTAAATTAATATGTTTACTTGAACTTAATTTATTTTAGTTTAAAGGTTGGATTATTATGTTGTGTTAACTAATTACTTTTTCTTTTCTTTTAGTACCAGACAATTGTCGTTTTATTTTTTGTTCTCTGTAGTTAATCTTAGGGAACTAAATATTCCAAAATAAAATTTACTTTCTGATTCTTCTTCTTCTAAATAAAAAAAAAAAGTTACATTAAGTGCATTGTGTTCTGATTTCACATAAGAAAATTTCACAGTGCCTAATGATCTAATGTTATGGAAATACTTTTACTATCCTGAGACTGTTGCCCTTTTAGAATAAATTAATATACAGACTAAATAAAACAAGCCTGTGTGGCCTTACATAAAATTACATATTTACAAAATAATAAGTAATTAAAGATATAAAAGGAAAGAGAGAGGAAGAGAGGCAGAGAAAAAAAATACATATACATGAAACACACATTGGAAAACAAGACAAGAAATATAAAATAAATAAAGAAAATAGTATCTGGGGAGATTAAAAGAGTTCTCTTGTGTCCATTTCATGACCATTCGGATTAGGAATAGGTGCTTAAAGAGAAGATATTTTTAAGGAGGAAACTGATTGTGCGTGACGAATATCAGGAGGGATATAATTCCAGAAGGAGACGGTAGAAATGTTACTTTTTATAATAACGCGATCATGTCCTCGGCACCATGTTAAAGTAACGAATCTGCAACCTCAAACCTTACATTCGTTACTTAACATGGTGCCGACGATATAGCTGAATATGCTGAACGTTTGACTATCTGCATAGTGGCGAACCGAAACCATTTGGGAACCAGGACGAATCTATTTTTCTGACCAAAAATAAATAAACGCGATCTTGGCGAGGAGCCATCTTAGTAGCCCAGTAACTTTGTCATCAAAAGGTGGGTATAAGCTGCACCGAATGAGATAGAAGGTTTTTTTCTTGTATGGGGTGTGACTCAGATGCAAAATTCAAATTTTCGATCTCGGCACACCCTCGGATCACTATTGAAAATTTCAAAAACTGCTATATTTTCGCAATTGTTTTGTTCCCCTCCATTTTAACGATGAAGGAGCACGTTTCCGACTAAATACATTTTTAAACTAGATTAAATATGCTCCAATTTCTGTTTTTTCTTTATTAAAGAAATACATTTAGTAAATTTATACATTTATGTAAGGATAGGTATCTGGATTGGGTCAGTTCTGAAACATTAAGATCATTATGGATGGTTTTATTTGTAACAAGGTAGGGAGCATTGAGGATTTTACGAAGGATTTTGGATTGTAAGGATTGGATACGAGAGGAGTTCGATGGTTTGGTGGAGCCCTCTTGCTCAACTCCGTAAGTCCAAATATTCCTTATGAGTCTTTTGTAATTAATTGGAAGTTTAGAGCGTTTGTCTACTAAGTGCTGAAGTAATCAGAAACTTCGAGCAGTTTCTTATCGTTTCAATCTGGTATGAGGAATGCTCCAATTTAAGACCACAACAAGTTCGGTTAGTTCAATAGTGTTTGAGATACAGGTTTTTAAAATTTTCGGACTTGAAAATTGTAAGCGGGTGTTATGCAACATTGAATAGCAGCGCATGCGTTACAACTCACTGCTGTATTCAGACTAATTACATTTTTTTAATATATTTTTTTCAGCTGTGCACACAGCCTGCTCTTCTTTTCAGCCGACGTCTTTCACTCTCTCTGGCAGCCTTCCGGATGCAGGTACATCTCTTCTTTCCAATGAAATGTGGTTTTGAACAACGAGTTCCTTCCACCCGTATATTCCTTTCACTGACCGGTACGCTCTAGTGACCCTCAGCAGAGCCATTCGCTGAACTGTTGCCAACCTTTTCTTCTGTTGGTGCGAGAGATGATGACTCCATTCAGGGGACGCATACCTCAGGATTATAAATGACTCATTTATAAATAGTCAATGTGGCTGGGTACCTTAAATTTATAGTTACAGGGAACACAACGCTGTGAAATTTATAGAGATGTGGGAGAAGGGTGCACGGGAGGAGGTATGGTCCGCGGACAACTCTCTCCCATCAAATCCCTCTCTTCCCCCGCTAACACCGCACCTTCAAAATATATAAATGAATAAATATTTAATTTCCTGACCCAAATCTGAAAGGTTATTGAAGATAAAAGATAATTGCATATGATCTAACATTAAAAATAATTTCTAAATATAAATGGAATATAAAATTGTCGTGACTTTGTATGCCTGCATCTAGTAAAATATTTGATATACCAATCATTTCTGGTCCTTAATTGTAGCATATTTAATCGAGTTTAAAAATGTGATTGTGTTTTTTGTCGAAAACGTGGTGTTTCGCGGATAAAATGGGAGACCCCGAAACTACGTTTTTATGATATTAAAAAAAAAGTGATCCGAAAGGAGGAGGGGAGACAAAGTAGAAAACTTGGAATTCGCAGTTTAGTCATATCTCGTACAAGAAAATAAAATCTACCCCCATTCAATGCAACTTATCATGAACAACGTTCCTGGGCTAATGTAAATGCAGCTAATTTTTTAAGTACTGTAACTCGTAGTATTAATAAATGAAACTTTGAAATTCAAAAAGTAATGTTTCGTCATGCTTGTGGTTTCTAATGTTCAGTAGAGTAATTAGCCAATTGAATATAAATATAACTATGTAAATATTTTTAGTACCTATGTATATTTTATTGAGAAGTAAGTACTTATAGTGACAACTAATGTTTATTTTGTATACATTAACATTTATTTACATTGTAAATGTTGACGTAAAAAGTAACGAAAGCTTTTAACTATAATCTATTTGTATCAGAGATTCCTAAAAACAAATTAAGTAAGTACATAGTCTTCCATTTTTATTCTACGCAATTAATACTTATACACTTAATGAAATAAATCCACAAGGAAAAATTATTAAAAATACTAAAGTATTTTGATTTAAGGAGATCTTATATAATTTTAGTGCAATGTTTAAGGTACCATTAAATTAAAAAAAAAAAGAAGGCAAAATCCATCTGCAGTGGGGCTCCCTTAGTCAGTTCCCGGAGAGAGGGGGAGGTGGAGGGGAGGGAGAGACTGCTTCCTCCGTCTCCTACTTGGGGCACTACTGTACATGCATTTTGAAAGGCTACAAATATATACAATAGAATTTTTTAACCGATACAGTTTTCTTAAAAATTATAACTGTATGTGATCGGGGTATCGAAGGTAATGAAGAATAAAGTGTTCCAATAACACATGATGGAGCATTCATTCTAAATCCCATGACACATTAATTTATATTATTTGTGATAATGAACGGTTGCATAATGTTCATCTAAAACACTCCAGTCTTCCTTGATCATATCAGCAGCTTTCTCTCCTATCATGTAGCAGGGTGCCATTGTGTGCACTCCTGGTACCTTGGGCATGATTGAAGCATCAGCGACTCTGAGGCCAGTCAATCCATGTACACGTAATCTATGGTCCACGACGGAATTCGAAGGGTGCGAGCCCATCTTGCAAGTGCCCGATTGATGATGAAGCTGAAAGGGGACGCTTCTTATGGCACACTCCCAATATTCGTCAGAATCGAATTCGTACGACTCACACCCGTAAACTGGATTCGTATATAAAGTCGCGCCGATTTCTTGGAAAGCTTTCGTCCTCGCAACTTCCTGTGCGGCTCTGATCCCTGCTATCGTTACTTGAACGTCGAAAGGATCTGAATGAAAATTACCATCAATGACTATCGAGTCCCTTGGATCTGAGCTCCGTAGTCTTACCGTCCCTCTGCTTCGTGGGTACATCATCATCGGAAAAATATTGAACCCCTCCGCGAAAAATATTGGTTTCCACGTTTTGTCATAAACTTCATCAGAAATATTTCTTGTCCTCTTCCAAAACACACCTCCATCACCAGCTACGCTCATGGCAACACCTATGAGCTCAATATCTGCTTTGTGCCCGGCATATTTCGTTTTAACGTAACCCAAAGCTTCAGGTAAATTATTTGCTAATGAATTATTAGCCCCATTCAACCATTGAGAAAATTCGCTTTCGATTGTAGCGATCTGTTTAGGCAATGTTGCGCTATCAGTGGTGTTGATGAGGTATGTTACAGTCGCTGTTGCTAAATGCTCTTGAAGATTTTCACCAACTGGAAGATCGACAATGGTCGCAACACCCACTTCGTGAAGATGCCCAGCTGGTCCAATTCCTGATAACATTAAAATTTTTGGCGAGCCAAATGTCCCTGCTGAAAGAATAACTTCTTTTCTTGATAAAACTATTCTTTTTTGGTTATTATGCAAAAAACTGACAGCGCATACTCTATTCGTTTCACCGTCAGTATGTACTTCCGTCACGTACGCATTTTTTAATATATGCACATTGGGGCGGGATTTTAAAGGGAGCAGATAAGCTGAAACAGCACTATGTCTTCTGTTACCACATGTGGTTGTCTGTGCCTGAGAAAATCCTACCATCGTATTTGGGTTATTGTAATCGATAAGATCATACCCTAACTGTTGACCTGCTTCCAGAAACCTTCTTCCTATTTCAGACTGAGAGGAGTATTGCAAATGAACAGGACCTGTTGTAGAATGAAATTCCGATTCTGCCAAACCTGGAATAGACATGTTTTCCACTTTTAAGAAATACGGCAAGACATCCTGATAGGACCAACCAATGTTACCTTCATACGCCCATTCATCGTAATCTGAGGGATGCCCTCGTGTGTACAACATCCCATTAATTATCGAACCTCCCCCAACACCGTTACCAGTAGCCCAGTGGCAAGCACCGTCCACTAGTCCAAGACAAGCGTCATGCTCCCTTTCCACGTCATAGTTTCTGGAATTAGCTGTTAAAACAGTGTATTCATTGAAAGCGGGGATCTCGCTGAAAAATGTTTCTTCCTCACCAGCTTCGAGAAGCAGCACAGTCCAATGGTATACTTCCGAAAGCCTGTTTGCTATAGCTGATCCAGCAGGTCCGGATCCTACTACGATGAAGTCATATTCATTTAAAATCTCTCCTGTCGTCTGGAATTCGTTGCTTTGAAGAGGGATTCCCAGTTTGTCTATAATCCTCTTCACGTCAGATAATAAAGGCAATTGTCCAAAAACATTGCGAGCATATAGCAACAGAAGAACAGAAAATATATTTTTCATAATTTTCTACCTGAAAAAACAAACAAACAACAGATCAAATAATATAAACATGACATATTTATCATTATTCACATTAATTTCATTTTCTAACGTTACCTTTTGGTTTTTACTTACTTATATACATAAACCTATTCTTATCCGAGTGTAAATTATAAATTGTATTCACATCTCAATGCTTATTGAAGTATTTAGAACATTTATTGATTTATTTCATATTTTACAAAATGTTGAAAGAATAATCGAATACAAATTAACAAAAATTATAGACGTATCCAATGTAAAGTTTTCATTTACATTGAAGGTGTTAGCTTATAAACCTGAACTTTATATCCATCAAATTTAATTCATGAGTGTCTATTTACTCAAGGCCGATGGTACATAACCCCCCTCCCAAGAAATCGCTTGTTCTCCGCACCTTACATATAACGCATGCGAAGGTAGAATTAGAAAAACTGTTTAAAACCAATAATTACACTTTCTTTGTTACACTTTATGTCTTCCATGTTTCTTCTTGTCCTCTGGTTAAAAGTTCCTTCATGTTGAAACCCCACAAAAATATGGTTCCCTCCAAAAATTCATATTCCATCTCATACATACCGTTATGCCGTTTTTGACAGTCCTGATTCGATTTATTCTTTTTTAAAATGATTGAATTTCGAATCATATCAATGGTAAACGTAGAGGAGATTTCACAAATATTTTGAAAGCCGAAAAAAAAATTATCTATTTTACAGGCGCAAGTAATTAGAAATAGGTAACATACAAATTTGACTAATGGTTGGTTTTTTTAAAGAAATGATTTGAAAATCCATTTAAGAAAATGTAAGTGAATTGGTGCCTGTCCCATCAGTTTCTGAGCCTTGTAAGAGGTAAATTCTTCATTGTGATCTTAAATAAAAATATTTGAATAAATAAAAACCATCGAAAAATTTATTTAACTTATTAAATTTTTAATTTTTTTATTTATGTATTATATATATATTATTTTTCTGTATAATTTTTTTTTTATTGTACATAGAGTGTGAATGTGACCTCTGAACACTATTATAAATGTCCTTTGAGACAGATTGTATATTTTCAATAAACAAGATTAAAAAAAAATTAATTAATTAATTTGAAAATTTTATGTTGGTAAGCATCGGGTCAATAAATCATTGATGACTCATCCCATCACACCCGAATTATGGTTTTTAACCTTTTTCTACCTATTTCTGTAAATATTTGCTTTAAATTTTTTTAGAAATTATGCTGTATTTTGAAGCCTAAACATTCCAAAAACACAATTTTCTCCCTCTTCCTACATATTATTTTGTTTTGATGTTTGAGGACATTCCTAATTCTAAAAATAAATAATAATATTTCACGTGTTGTAAACAAATTAATTTCTAATTTGAGACTAATTTAAACTGCTTCCTATAGATCAGAGGTCTCCAAACGAAAGTTTCTTTTTTGAAAGTTTGATTACATGGCAACATTTTAAGAACTATTAAAAAAAATGTAAAATTTAGCAAATTACTGATACAAGAGACTACTAAAACATTTATTGTATTTTTTTTTCTTGTAGAAAGCTCATTTCACAATTCAAGTGTCATTTAAAGAACAATTTTTTTTTCGTTACATGGCCCGCGGAACTTCACTGGATGTCTCATGCGACCTGGATGTCTCATGCGTCTTTTGAACTCATGCGACCTGCAGGCCAAAAATATACACTTTTCAATTGTTTGTAATCTACCAGTCTTATGATATGTAAATTACATCTTGTTAAAGCATATGGAGAATTAGTGAGGCTTTAATAATAATCATGCGATTTTCGTAAAATATATAACTGAATAACATCAATATTCATTTTTTTTTTCACCTTTAAAGTGGTTACTCATTTTTTTCATGGGCTAAAAAGTTGATGTGTGACATTTGGTACTTATGATGATTGTTCCGTGAAACTTTATCCTTTATGAATTCTTCTACTAGATATTGTCAAGCAGATGGATTAGTATTAAGTGTCAGTTAGCAACTCAACATATTTGAGCAGCATTAAGACTTTATTGTAGTTCTCTCTATATTGTATATCATATAAAGATGGGGTGCAATTATGCTAATTTATGAACAGTTAATTAACAAATTGTTGGATCCATTTATCATTCCCAGATACATAAACAAATAACAATTTTCTTTAATGATATTTAAAAAATTTTCTTTAATTATTTCAAATTTATTTGTAACATATTTTTAAGTGCGAAATAGTTTATTTAATAATAAATAAATAAATTTTGCCTAATAAATAATTAACTAAAAAGTAAAAATGAAAAAACAAATATATAACTTTATCAAATGAATATTTTTGTTATTAGTTTTTGTTATTTAAAAAAAAAATTCTAATAATGTAGACACAGTATCACACTTTTTTTTTAAATATTTTATTTTAGGAAGAATTAGCAACCATCAATAAAAATGTTGACTGACAAAAATAATTTTTTTTTTGTCTAAATGAGAAGATATTGACAAATAATTTTAAAAAATTTTACAGAGGTGGGGTAATATGTCCAAAGGAATGTTTGAAAATGACAAAGAGCCTAAACGTTGCAAATTGATGTGATATATTTAAATTACAGTTTTTTAATATTGATAAAGAGAATTTTCATCTATTTATGAATTTTGTTTAATAATTATTGATTAACTGTTCATAAATTATCAATATTTAAACTTATATACTTAATTGATGTGTATGCGATAAAACGAATGTAGTATAAATAAATACAAACACACATGTATATATATATATTTGTATATATATATATATATATATATATATATATATATATATATATATATATATATATATATATATATATACATATACATATTTACACGCTCCCATATATATAACGGTAAGAAGTAAAATGATATTGAACACAGAAAGGTCAACTAACCTTGCTAGATCGAGGCTACAATCCAGAATGTGAAAAGTTCTCGGGTTGACCAATCAACAGCTTATATCCTGGTGGACATTGGTGGGGGTAATTAAGATAGTCTAGCTCGCCAATAACACCTAATGAAATAACTAAAGCTGTAGATAATTTTATTTAAAATAATTGAACATAATTCGATACATAAATACTCTTTTCTTCTGATTTCGGTTCATCTTAGTAAAACACCAATCATTTTTAGAATTTATTTACGCATTTTTTATTTTTGACATGCATACTATATTTAAAGTACTATTTTTGTTAAAGCAACGATCATTATTTGATCACGTTCTTCTTATGTTTTATGTAATAATTCTAATTTTTTATATCATATTTGTATAATAAACTATATCAATACATTATATTTGTATAATAAACTGTAGTTAATTCAATTTATTGACTTTGACTCTTTATTTCATCAAGACACACGTTATTAGGGTCAGCGGCGTATCTACCATTTGATGCCCGTGTTTACTGCAACAAATATATAAATATAATATGAGAGATTTTCGAAAATATGAATATATTTTCTTTCATGTTCTAATATTTGGCCATTAGGAAATTGTTTTCTTTAGTTAACGCTCAAGTGAAGAGTAAATTAAATAACCCCACAAAGAGTAAATTAACACTAAAAAAGTCATTTGTTTAAATAAATTGTTCGTAATATATTTTCCATGAAGCTAATTATTCTATTATAACTATTATATTATTGATTAAAAAAAAAAATCCTAGTATTGGATCTAGTATTAGTTCATATGTGTATATGAAACAGCGATATTGTGTACCGTTTTATATATTACATTAAGAGGGATGATAATTCTAAAAGCCATTCTACTGAAACAAAAAAGTGTCATATCTGAAGTAAAGTGGTTTAAGTCCATAATTAATAGTTTGGAAATAATCAAGATTATAGTTCATTAACACTAATTGAATCCTGTTTCAGAGGATAGTTTTATTTTTATATACACTAAAATATGGATTGATAAGTATATTTAAATAACAAGATATTTGAAAGTTCTAAAAATAATAAATAAGTTTAGGTACTTGATCAACTTTGTCGCTGAAATTTTATTAAATGTTGCCATATGTGAAAAAATAAGGAGAGTGTAGCACATTTAGCCTATAAAAATTAACCCCATTAACAAGTATTTATCCTTAATAAATAATTTTGCAACAAGCGAACTTTTTGAAAGTATCTTGATATTTACTAGCCGAATTAAAACTATCTCTGTAAGTACCGTGTATTACTCGAACGCAATGATCTAAATATCTTATAGATACCTTGATGTATTGTTAAGGCAAACCTATTCGTTTTGACCTTATGTTGAATATTTATACCCATTTTATTGATTGTTAGACATCTAGTCTATTCCTTTATGTTAGATTCAGTTATCTGTTATCGTGAACGCCAATTCTATTAACCTATCTATTTCCTCCATTCCGTCATTAACATTGTTCCTCCTTCTGGCCATTCTTCATTCATTGTTTCGTTACAATTGTTCGAGAGGTATCTTTGTTGTTTGGTTTGCTTTGGTATTTCATTACATAGTTTTTGGGGGATATTGAGAAACTTTGATCACAGTACCAGAACGTTGCCCATAGCAATGTAACATGCATAATTTTATACTTGCAACATCAATATGTTTCATCTAAGGATGTAAATATATTATCTCCTTAAGAAATTGAAATGATGTCTGAGCGATCTCCACCGATACGATACTCCTCCAATGTTACTTCATTTCTTAATAGAGTTGACTTCGAAGACACCGTACATATAAATAAAAAAACTGTATTTTCGATTTAAAAATTAGATGAACAGAAGTTGTATTTATCTTATATTTAATTAACTAAACAACAACTGATAACATTTAGCGGAGGATACTGTACTTTTTGGAGGATACAGTCGTTCTTATAAGCAGTTTTTCTACAAATTTAAAAGGCACAGTTTTCTTCAATAAAAAGTTGACTCCTGATGTTGAAATTCATGATATTTCAATTATGGTCGTTTCCTCTAGGTATGGTCTATCAGTCCTTATA